CTTAGTACGCTTTGTTTTCAAAAAAATATGATTTATGTGACTGTATTATATAATGTGTTTGGTTTTTAAATGAATTAATAAGTATTAAAATTCTCTCTCTTTTTTTTTTTTTTTTTTTTTTTATTTGAGACATAATCTCGCTCTGTTGCCCAGGTTGGAGTGCAGTGGCAAGATCTTGGCTTACTGCAACCTCTGCCTCCCGGGTTCAAGTGATTCTTCTGCCTCAGCCTCCCGAGTAGCTGGGACTGGAGCTGTGTGCCACCATGTCTGGCTAATTTCTGTATTTTTAGTAAAGTCAGGATTTCACCATATTGGCCAGGCTGGCCTTGAGCTCCTGACCTCAAGTGATCTGCTTGCCTCGGCCTCCCAAAGTGCTTGAACCCAGGAGGCGGAGGTTGCCGTGAGCCGAGATTGCGCCATTGCCCTCCATCCTGGACTACAAGAGCGAAACTCAAGTCTCAAAAAAAAAAAAGAAAGAAAGAAAGTAGCCGGGCGCGGTGGCTCAAGCCTGTAATCCCAGCACTTTGGGAGGCCGAGGCGGGTGGATCACGAGGTCAAGAGATCGAGACCATCCTGGTCAACATGGTGAAACCCCGTCTCTACTAAAAATACAAAAAATTAGCTGGGCATGGTGGCGCGTGCCTGTAGCCCCAGCTACTCAGGAGGCTGAGGCAGGAGAATTGCCTGAACCCAGGAGGCGGAGGTTGCGGTGAGCCGAGATCGTGCCATTGCACTCCCTCCCTGGGAAACAAAACAAAACCCCGTCAAAAAAAAAAAAAAAAAAAAAAGAAAGAAAGAAAGTAAAGTAAATTGCAAGCCAGTTTACTTCTATAGAATGGTGCAAGCCAGTTTACTTCTATAGAATGGTGCAGCTCACAGATGGAACAATGGCGAGCACGCCTGGACAAGGAGGGGAAGGGGTACTTATTCCTGACGGAGGTCGCCCCTGCAGCTGTGTTTTCCCCCATTGGCTAGGGTTAGACCGCACAGTTTAGTCTAATTCTGATTGGCTTTTTTTTTTTTTGGAGACGGAGTTTCACTCATGTTACCCAGGCCTGGAGTGCAATGGCACGATCTCGGCTCACCGCAACCTCCGCCTCCTGGGTTCAGGCAATTCTCCTGCCTCAGCCTCCTGAGTAGCTGGGATTACAGGCACGCGCCACCATGCCCAGCTAATTTTTTGTATTTTTAGTAGAGACGGGGTTTCACCATGTTGACCAGGATGGTCTCGATCTGTTGACCTCGTGATCCACCCGCCTCGGCCTCCCAAAGTGCTGGGATTACAGGCTTGAGCCACCGCGCCCGGCCTCTGATTGGCTATTTTAAAGGGAGCAGGGGTACCAGCCAGGGTGGCCCGGTGGGTAGTTTGGCGGGAAGGACAGTTACAGGAGAGGTCAGAGCAGGTCGCCAGAGCAGGATGCCGTTCCACTCCAGCCTGGGCAACAGAATGAGACTTCCATCTCAAAAAAAAAAAAAAAAAAACCCCAAACAACAGCAACAACAAAATACAGGGCAAAGCAGGTGACGGGGATGGGTCAGGACGGGGCAGGGGGCCGGGGAACAGATATGAACTGCTGATTAGCACTGGTGGAAAAGACTGTTTACCGAAACGACAAGGAAGTTAAACTTTAAAGTGCAGGACAAAGAACTGAACATACCGACATACTGATTCTTTGAAGAGAAACTTGGAGTTCACTGTGTCTGACAATAGGTAATTGACTGACTGACCAACCGACATAAACAAAAGCTGTTTGGAGCCTTCAGTAACTTTTTGGTGTGCAGAGGTTCTGAGACCCCAAAGTTGAAGACCCATGGCTGTAGAAGGTTCCCTCTGGCTGCCGAGTGAGTGCCGGGATAAGCACAGGGAGGCTGGTGACTTGGCTTTTGTGACCCTTCAGGTGAGCAGGAGGAGGATAGGAAATGGCTGTGTCCGTGTTTGTATGTAGATTTTTTTACAAAATTGTAAAATGCAACAAAATTTTCTCATCTCTACCATTTTGAAGCGCGCAGCTCAGTAGCGTTAAGTACATTTGCACTGTTGTGCAGCCAGTCCCCAAATCCCTTTCATGCCACAGAAGTGAAATTTTATACCCATTAAACAATGACTCCCCAGGGTCTGGATTTATTCAGAAAGTGAAGGCAGGATTTGCTGTTAGGTTGGCTGTGGTGTGTGTAAATGTCTGGTAAATGTTTCATTAATTAGGAGGCAGCGTCTGGGCGCAGTGGCCCACCCTGTAATCCCAGCACTTTGGGAGGTCCAGGTGGGTGGATCCCAAGGTCAGGAGTTTGTAGACCAGCCTGGACAACATGGTGAAACCCCATCTCTACTAAAAATACAAAAATTATCCGGGTGTGGTGGCAAGCGCCTGTAATCCCAGCTACTCGGGAGGCTGAGGCAGGAGAATTGCTTGAACCTGGGAGGCGGGGGTTGCAGTGAACCAATATTGAGCCATTGCACTCCAGCCTGGGTGACAGAGCAAGACTTCATCTCAAATTAAAGAAAAACGGGAGACAGATTTGATCTGGTCTTTCTTCCAGATGCAAACCTTCCCACACCTACTCTGAGCCTTACACATGAGCATGAGCCCCCGCCCAGCCCAATGTGACCCACTGGGGAAAGGACAGGTAACAGCAAAGGTCGCATCACATCCTGGAATGTCCTGTGAAGATCCTTCTGGATTGACTCACAGTTACAGAACCTGAGTGGTTCATTGAATAAGTAGGCCCCGTCTACTTGGAAACAAAGTTTTCAAGCCAGTTCTTTCTGTGTTTTCAGATCAGCTTAATTGAGGAATCTGCTGGTTCATTCATACCCTGAGGTTACCATAATGGAAGCTGTTAACCGTCTTAGGGTGAACATACAAGGAAAATGGGAAGGTTTGAGCTGTGGGACAGCGCCCCCCAGTGTGTGTGTGAAGATACTGTGGGCTCAGGGAGGGATTCATGGCCACCAGGAGGATATCTGAGGTCAACACTCCTCGGAGCCAAGCCCCAGGCAAAGCAAAGTGGACAGGGGCTAAATGATCATCTTCTCAGGGAAGTGAAGTCAGCAGTGGCCAGAAAAGCAAAAGTAGCAGTTCTCGTCGAGTCCTAGTCCAGAAGGGACAAGATAGCCCTTCTCCAGTGATCCAGGCCCTCACGGTGAGGAGGGTGGGGGTGTCCCTGGTTTGCAAACGAGGAAGTTGAGGTGAAGAGATCAGTTTGTCAGAAGCATTTGAACCAGAGCGACTCCATCTTGAGTAGGGGACTGGGTGAAATAAGGCTGAGATCGATGGGGCTGCATTCCTAGGAGGTTAAGGCATTCGAAGTCACAGGATGAGATAGGAGATCAGCACAGACACAGGTCACAAACCCTGCTTATAAAACAGTTTGCCATAAAGAAGCCGAGGAAAGTAACTTCTGGTCATCCTCACTGCTCATTATATGTTAATTACATGCATTAGCACTATATATCCTCCCACAGCACCTTACAGTTTACAAATGCCATGGCACCCTCAGGAAGTTACTCTATGTGGTCCAAAAGCAGGAGGAAACCTGTTTTGGGAATTTCCCACACCTTTCTGGAAAACTCTGTGAATAATCCACCCTTTGTTTAGCATATAATCAAGAATTAACCATAAAAATAGCTGACCAGCAGCCCTCAGGGCTGCTCTGCCTATGGAGTAGCCATTCTTTCTTTACTCACTTAATAAACTTGCTTTCACTTTACTCTGTGGACTTGCCTTGGATTCTTATCGTGTGAAGTCCAAGAACTTCTTGGGGGCTGAATCAGGACCCATTTCTGGTAATAAGTTAATGTGCTCAAGGTCACACAGCTCATAATAGAGGGAGGCTAGAATTGGATCCCAAGGCTGACTCCAAAGTGGATGATTTTTTTTTTTTTTTTTTGAGATAGTCTCTCCCTCTGTCGCCTAGGCTGGAGTGCAGTGGCGCCATCTCGGCTCACTGCAACCTCTGCCTCTTGGGCTCAAGCGATTCTCCTGCCTCAGCCTCAGGAGTAGCTAGGATTACAGGCTCACACCACAGTGCCTGGCTAATTTTTGCATTTTGTTTTTTTAAGTAGAGACGGGATTTCACCATGTTGGTGAGGCTGGTCTTAAACTCCTGACCTTGTGATCTGCCCACCTCAGCCTCCCAAAGTACTGAGATAAGCATGAGCCACTGCACTTGGCCAAATTTAGTTAATACTTTGTTGTATTTTGCATCTTTGCTTTACATTATTGTTTGTAATAAGAATTTAAAATTAATATGGGGCAACTGGGTGTGGTGGCTTAATGAGTGAGTGAGCTGAGATTGTATCACTATACTCCAGCCTGCGAAACAGGAAAAAAAAAAAAAAAAAAAAAAAGAAAAGATTAATATTGGGGTCAGGTGTGATGGCTCATGCCTATAATCCCAGCACTTTGAGAGGCCAAGACAGGTGGATCACTTGAGCCCAGGAGTTCAAGACCAGTCTGGGCAACATGGTGAAACCCTGTCTGTACAAAAAGTAAAAAAAATTAGTCAAGTGTGGTGGCGCACAGGCATAGTCCCAGCTACCTGGGAGGCCGAGGTGGGAGGATCACCTGAGTCTGGGAGGTTAAGGCTGCAGTGAGCCATGATTGCACCACTGTGCTCCAGCGTGGGTGACAGAGGAAGGCTCTCTCTCAAAAAATCATAAAGAAATGAAAATATCTTTCTTTGTAACTTTTCTGTGATAGGCTAAAAACAGAGGTAGTTTGCTTGTAGCCATCAGTCCTTCTTTTCTCGATTTCTAGAGCAATTTATTTCTTATTTCTGGTTGCTTCATGGATTTAGATAATTTCTACAGTAACTTACTCTGGAATTTAGAACTGCATCTCATTTGGATCTTCATACCAAATTTTGCAACAGAACTATGAGCATTGCCTTCAAGCCTGAGAGTTTTATTATGTTAATAATAGATGTATGTCTTCAAAAGCAGTGGAGTTGAAAATAATACTTCTAACCTCATCTATCTTCTTTTTTTGTTTTGAATGCAGTTAACAAGCACAAGCCCTGGTTGGAGCCTACCTACCACGGCATAGTCACAGAGAATGACAACACGGTGCTCCTGGACCCCCCGCTCATCGCCCTGGACAAAGATGCACCTCTGCGTTTTGCAGGTACGAACGGGGTTTTCATTGACTCTTGACAAATCTGGCCTGGACAGGGAGCATCCTGCACACCCCATTTGGATTATGCAGAGCCTTTCTGGAAGTGTCTCTATAGCTGAGGGTTATTTGTAGCTCCTTTGTACCGTGTTTTTTTTCTTTTTCGTAGTTGGGGTAGCTGACAAAAAGACCTGTTCTTAGAATTGGAAAGCAAACTGTTGAATTTAATCACATCATTTTTTTCTTTGTCTTCGTGTAGCCAGGTAACACCTAGACCAGTGCATACTTGGTGCTAGTGTGCATGTGGAGTACCTGAGGAATGTAGATACAGCGGGTCCAGGAGGACCTGAGATTCTGCCTTCCTCACTGCTCCTAGGTGCTGCTGGTGCTGCGGGTCCTGCTGGTCCTGCTGGTCCTCGAGTGGCGTGGATCCAGAGAATCAGAGCGCCAGGGGTTCCTTGCATTACCTAGATTTCAATGACTTGAGAAGACTTATTTGAAGAAGTTGAGCGGTCTTTATAGAGGAATGCTTTTGGCATAGATTTTACCTTCTGTGAATTTTTAACTTGAGTTACTTCATAAGATTGTGGCCTCCGTCTTCATAGAGACAAGCTTGTAGCATTACTGTGAAGATTTTCATACCATAATAACCATCTACATTGCTAACATTTAAGAACACTGTCCAAATCAGAGCTGTTCTGGCTTCACGTTGGGTCCTTAATTGGTAGAGAATGGGCTATGTCACCTTTTTTCTGCCTGGGGGTTAGAATTGACCTTGTAAAGTTAATTGTTAGAGAGTTGTTTTCACATATTTTTCCAGATCAGATCTGCTCTTGTATGGCTGGGCATGGTGACTCACACCTGTAATCTCAGCACTGTGGGAGGCTGAGGCAGGAGGATCACTTGAGTCCAGGAGTTGGAGGCTGCAGTGAGTTGTGATTGCACCTCTGCACTTCAGCCTGGGCAACAGAGCAAGACCACATCACAAAAAACAAAACAAACAAAAACTTCTCATATTAAAGAGTGTTCTGGGCCGGGTGTGGTGACTCACACTTGTAATGCCAGCACTTTGGGAGGCCTAGGCGGGCAGATCTCGAGGTCAAGAGATCAACATGATACTGGCCAATATGATGAAACCCTGTCGGTACTAAAAATACAAAAATTAGCTTGGCGTGGTGGCGTGCACCTGTAGTCCCAGCTACTTGGGAGGCTGAGGCTGCAGTGAGCTGAGATCGGGCCACTGCACTCTAGCTTGGTGGCAGAGCAAGACTATCTCAAAAAAAAAAAAAAAAAAAAAAGTTCTGTTTGCTTAGGGACAACTTGTATCAAACATATGTTAATTGTATAATAGTAAGTTGAGGGAAATAAATATGAGTTTGTTCATTCTGTTTAAGCACCACATTTTCAGCACAGTCACTCATGAACCAGCTTGTGCTATAAAGATAGAGCCGCCCACTTTGGGAGGCTGAGGCGGTAGAATCATGAGGTCAGGAGATTGAGACCATCCTGGCTAACACAAGGAAACCCCATCTCTACTAAAAATACAAAAAAATTAGCTGGGTGTGGTGGCGTGCACCTGTAACCCCAACTACTCAGGAGGCTGAGGCAGGAGAATTGCTTGAACCCGGGAGGCGGAGGTTGCAGTGAGCCAAGATCGCACCATTGCATTCCAGCCTGGGTGACAGAGAGAGACTCTGTGTCTCAAAAAAAAAAAAAAAGCTAGAGCCTCCCAAGTTGTTTTGCATGTTTGTTGATTTTCAGCGAGAAATCTGATGAAAAGGATAGAGACAGCACCCTGTGTTGTGAACACACACACAGCATTTGCCCAGTTGCGGGAGTCACTATTTTTTCTTTTTCCTCCAGTTTTTTTTCCCCAAGACAGAGTCTTGCTCTATTGCCCAGGCTGGAGTACAGCGGCAAAATCTCTGCTCACTGCAACCTCCCCCTCCCATGCTCAAGCAATTCTCCTGCCTTAGCCTCCTGAGTAGCTGGGATTACAGGCGTGTGCCACCACGCCCAGCTAATTTTTGTATTTTTAATAGAGACGGGGTTTCGTCACGTTGCCCAGGCTGGTCTCACACTGGCTGGTGTCGAACTCCTGACCTCGTGATCTGCCCGCCTTGGCCTCCCAAAGTGCTCACAGGTGTGAGCCACTGCACCCAGCCTTTCCCCGAGATTTAAAATCCATTTTTAGCATTGCATGTTGGTCTTCTCTGTAACTAACTAGTTTTTTTGTGTGTGTGTGTGTTTGTATATGTCCATATAGAGTCATACATCGCTTAATGACGGAGATATTTTGAGAAATGTATTATTAGGTGATTTTGTCATTGCGTGGACGCCATGGAGTTTACTAATGCAAACTACGATGGCGTGATGTATGGTATCTCAGTACAGCACTGTGGTGCGTGCAGTCCGTCGCTGCTTGAACCATTGTTCTGTGGTGCATCACTGCGTGCATGCACACACTGTGCACACTGTGTTATATGCAGTTCCTCCTTGTGGGTGCAGTATAGAGTGCTGGATAGATCTTTTTTTTTTTTTTTTTTTGAGACAACCTGTCTCTGTCCGCACAGGCTGGAGTACAGTGGCGCAATCTCGGCTCACTGTAGCCTCCACATCCCAAGTTCAAGCTATTCTCCTGCTTCAGCCTCTTGAGTAGCTGGGACTAAGTTGTGTGCCACCACAGCTGGCTAATTTTTGTAATTTTAGTAGAGACAGGTTTCACCATGTTGGCTAGGCTGGTCTTAAACTCCTGGCCTCAGGCAATCTGCCTCGAGATTGAGCCTCCCAAAGTGTTGGAATTACAGGCATGAGCTACCGCCCCCGGCCTTATTTTGTTTTATTTTTGAAATGGAGTCTTGCTCTGTTACCCAGGCTGGAGTGTGGTGGCACAGTCCTGGCACATGGCAACCTGTGTCTCCCAGGTTCAAGCAGTTCTCCTGCCTCAGCCTCCTGTTAGCTGGGATTGCAAGTGCCCACCATCATACCTCAGCTGATTTTTGTATTTTTTTTTTTTTTTTTGAGACGGAGTTTCGCTCTTGTTACCCAGGCTGGAGTGCAATGGCGCAATCTTGGCTCACCGCAAACTCCGCCTCCTGGTGTCAGGCAATTCCCCTGCCTCAGCCTCCTGAGTAGCTGGGATTATAGGCACATGTCACCATGCCCAGCTAATGTTTTGTATTTTTAGTAGAGATGGGGTTTCACCATGTTGACCAGGATGGTCTCTATCTCTTGACCTTGTGATCCACCCGCCTAGGCCTCCCAAAGTGCTGGGATTATAGGCGTGAGACACCATGGGCTTATTTTAAGAGATGATCATTTCAACTAATATCTGAAGTTTTTTACTGCTGTAAGGCAGTACAACCTCGTGATCCACCCGCCTCGGCCTCCCAAAGTGCTGGGATTACAGGCTTGAGCCACCGTGCCCGGCTGATTTTTGTATTTTTAGTAGAGACGAGGTTTCACCATGTTGGCTAGGATGGTCTTGAACTCCTGATCTCAGGTGATCCGCCCACCTTGGTCTCCCAAAGTGCTGGGATTATAGGCGTGAGCTACCACGCTTGGCCAATAATACATGCACTTTCAAAGCACGTGTAGCAATGTCCCAGGCACTACTCTTAAGTGCTTTATAAATATAAATTTGTATTTAATCCTTAGTAACCATAAGGGATAAATACGTTTTTCTTCATTAAAGGCAGGAAGTGGAAGCACAAAATAGTTAAGCTGTTGCCCTGAGTGTGTAGCTGGTTGGGTGCAGAGGCAGGTCTCCAGCCCAGGCGGTACGGCTGCCCGCTGTGATGATGGGACTACACCTGCCCTGCTGCCATAGTCCTCCTTCCCTCCCTCCTTCTTTCCCTCCCTCCCTCCTTCCCTCCCTCCTTTCCTCCCTCCTTCCCTCCCTTCTCTCTCTTCCTTTCTTCCCTCCCTCCTTCCTTCCCTCCCTCCCTCCTTCCCTCCCTCCTTTCCTCCCTCCCTCCTTCCCTTCTCTCTCTTCCTTTCTTCCCTCCCTCCTTCCTTCCCTCCCTCCCTCCTTCCCTCCCTCCCTCCTTCTCTCCCTCCCTCCTTCCCTCCTTCCCTCCCTCCCTCCCTCCCTCCCTCCTTCCCTCCCTCCTTTCCTCCCTCCCTCCCTCCCTCCTTCCTTCCCTCTCTCCATCCTTACCTCTTTCGGTAACTGCAGGAAGTTCACAAGGAAGAAGGAAAGGAAATGTCCATCGAGTGTTAATTTAGAAGGAAAAAGTCTTACCAATGAAATACTTTTTTTATTGTATTTAGTTTTACTGTATATTTTTCAAACAGTATATTCTAGATGAAATAATACACAGGTTTATGTTTTTAGAGATTCTCAGGTGATTTTTTTTAGTGATGTATAAAAATTATATGTTGTGATATTTTAACTATATAGAGAAGTGCTTTAAATCTAAGCCATAGTGGTAACTGGTTGTATTTGCCATAATGGATAGATAAGTTAGTATTTTCCTTTTGGAGATTTTCATGGGGGAAGCACAGTTATTCTTATATAATATTTTTTCTTTTTTGGGGATAATTCATATACCACAAAAATCACCCTTTTAAAGTGTATAGCTCACTGAGTTTTAGAATGTTCCAGAAACCATGCACATGTCAACCACTGTCTAACTCCAGAACATTTTCATCACCCCAAAAAGAAAGCCTTGCACCAAGTAGCAGTCACCCCTCAGTCTCCTCCACTCCCCAGCCCTGGCAGCCACCATACAGTGATCTATTCTGGATAATCATGCAAATGCACTATGTGGCTTTTTGTGATGGGCGCCTCACTAATGGTTTCACAGTTGACCCATGTGAGGTGTCCAGCAGCCCCTCATTACTGTTTTGTTGCTGGATAATATTTCATTCTATGGATAGACCACATTTTGTTTCTCTGTTCATCCACTGATGGACATTTGGGTTGCTTCTACTTTTTGGCTCTTACGGATTATGCTGCTGTGAGCATTCCTGTGCAGGTCTTTGTGTGGACATAGGTTTTTAGTCCTTTA